CGGCATTATACACAAACCAGTCAGCCAATTCTAGTTACTAGACATGGGTATATTTTCTTGAATTATTCTCCTTCCTCAACGGTTTTTCTCTCATACTATTGTCTTTTTTTCTAATTTGTTGTGCTCAGTACTTATTTCAAGATTTGCTCAAGAAAAACATCGACAAGTGTAACGAGGTAGCGTAATGAATTGTATATATTTACTATTGATTCATGCAATAAAATAAAAGAATATACAAACACCCGCGTTTGTTAATGAAAAGATGTATACAAGAGAAAAGAGGATAACGATTTGGGGTGAGGTCGATCGAAAATCTATTAGAATTAGTGAAAATATGCCATAATTTAGGCTAGTTCAAACAGATTTCCGATGTGGGAAAAAGACAGCAGATTCTTAATAAATTCCTAAAATGTGAACACAATTTTGTAAAGGAGTACTTTCCACCGGTGGTTTCGGAGCAGCATCTGTGATAGCACCATAGTAGTCATCAGATGGTCCAGATGAGCTACCAGTCTGTGTGGGGTGTGATTCTGAGTTAGCAGAACCTAAAAAAGGCATTTTGGGTGAGTCAAACACCTTCACCGAATCAGTATGTTTCTTTTTTATTTTCAAGAAATTTTACAAGGTGTAAAAACAATTCCAATGCTACAGTAGCTGCTCCGAAACTACAGTATGTTACCATAAAGCAACAGCGTTCTACCAAGCACCAGTATGCTAACCTAAAGCTACAGTAGGCTACGTAAATCAAAAGTATGCCACTGTAACACCAGTACGTGCGTAAGACACCAGTATGTCACCTTAAAATTAGTATGTCACCGTAAAACTACAGTAATCTACCGCAGGCCACGAGTAAGCTATTCAAAGCATTACTTTGCTAACGTAACACACCAGTATATACCGGCACCACCATGCTACCGTAAAGCACACTTTACTACCGTAGAGGTACGGCGCTACCGTAAAGCTAGATCATGTAATCGTAAGACTACAGTATGCTACCGTCTACCGTAAAGCACCGGTATACTAACGTAAAGCACATGCTAAAGGCACTATGCTACTATAATCTGCCATGCTGTATGCTACTGTAAAGCTACAGTATGCTACCGTAAAGCACTATTATGTTAATGTAGCACCAATGTGTTAGACTCCCAAATCACCATTATGCTATCGTAAGGCTACAGTATGCTGCCGCCACAGCATGCTATCATTCCTGCACTATGCTAGTTGTGGATATTTGCTACTAATTTCATCCGAGCATAGTCTTCGTAGCTGAAAGGGGACTTCCAGCAATGCTGAAGTTACGGTAGCGTACGGTATATGTGTGCAAAGACGGCTAATTTTTGAACATTACGCCTAGGGCCTTAGTCATACCTCATGCGATCAGTCGCCACACGATCTGACATGGCCAAATGTTTTCGAATTCAAGACTTAAAGCAAAAACATTATCTCTACAGAATTTTCTATTCTTTGCACGTTTAGAAAGGCTCACGATGAGATATGGACAATTAGGATATTGTCCAAATCGCGTAGCGACTGAAATCGCGCGAGGTATGGCCAAGGTCTAAAGCAATTATAGTCCGATAAGGAGCATACATTTGCAAAAAATTAATCATTCTACTTGCTGAATAAAAATTTCAGGATCATAGCTATATTACCTGATTTTGAACCGTGTACATCATCATAGTAGTCCCCTCTTTTTACTCGCCGTTGTTTATCGTCATCATCGTCATCCAGGAAATCCCAGTCGGTATCGTGCTGCCGTCGTATGATTGGATCAGGCTAAAACATCCCTCTGTATGTTTTTTGAGAAGCACACAAGTGAAACTACCTTAAGCTTGAAAAGCTTGTCAACGGGCAGAATAGAAGCAACAATGGGAGGAACGATAAGTGACGGCACAGTTGGAAATGCCAAAGGTGGGGCTGGCGGTGGCGTAGGTGGCAGAAGGGGAGGAGCAGGTGGTAAAGGTGTGAAACTGGCTACAAGGTCATTGCGAACGTCAAGCAAGTGTGGTCCTCCTTAAAATACACTTATTTATTTATTCTCACGATAAAGGTGTACCAATAAAACGGTTGCACAATCTGAACCTCCTGGAATAGTTATGAATTTCGATTTTTTGTTGACTTATCTGTTCTGTTTCATATTAACTTTCTAAAACGTGCTATAGATCATTACTTTTGATAACATAACAATATGTATACTCTGTAGATTGATTACTTTGCTTGACTTTAAAACAAATCTGTTCTTTTTTCAGTGCAAGAATTGTTGATAGCTATAAAACTTCCACCCACTACTGTACTTAAAGGGATAAAACGTACCTATTGCAGGATTTCTTTTTTATAAATCTTTATTTCGATTTCCGTTATTTTTTTCAGTGGCCCACAACTCCTTTAGAAATTTTTTGGTTTTGACGTAAAAATATTCGATGTTCAATTAAGAATTTAAGAAAATCAATTGGAACTTTCCACATTTTATCTTTGGTTTACCTGAAAACGCTACGCTCAGCTAAATTTTGTACATTTTTCTAGTATAAATTTATGGAAATCTAGCTCAGAGCATTTAGCAAGAACTCACCGGTCTGTTCTGGCTGACTGCTCCATGTTTTTGATCCGTAAACCTTTCGTGGTTGTGGTAGATCCATTATATACTCAGCATCATCCATCATAATCTTCGAAAAAATTAGAGACATTTATTTTGACTCAAAATCTGTTGAAAAACGATAAGATAAATGAAGACGGCCCTTTTGCCCGCTACAGTATGCTACGTCTTCAGTTTACAGCCTCCCATAACAAGCCTGCAGCATTACAATGCTGCGCTGGTCTATGATGTCGTTTTTGCAAAAAGCGCAGTATTTAATGGTGTTTTGAGCTAGGCGTGGTTACGGTACCTACGGTATACGTGCAAAAAGTACCATTTTTCACAAAAAAAAACTTGCTATTAGCTCACATCATTTTCCATTCTTTCTGGAATTTTCGGTGCTTCTGTCTTAGGTGGCTCGATTTTACTCGAAGACCTGGACTCAATGGTTGTTATGAACCTGTAAAAAGGATAGAGAATAGTGTTATTGACTGATCAATATTCGATCTCTCTCACCTATCAATGAGTTGGAAACCATTTGAGAAAAGCTTGCATTGGCCTTCATCCATCCCTTGTTCTTTGCACACTGCCGTGATTGCTTCGGGATTAATAAAAAACTAAGCTTTTATTGACAAAAACTATGCAAATTACGAAATGCAAACCATTAAAAATACTATCAGCGTTCCGCTAAGCTCCGCTCCTGTCAGCAAATTTCCAAACAATAGAAATTCAAAGAAAACCTGCTAATGGCCTGTCGTAGTTTCTTATCTCCCAGCACCTGTGCTGCCAATTGTATATTTCCAAATGTAGGATCTTTCTTGAAGTTTTCTGCAGAGCAGGAGATGAACTGACAAATCCTAAACTGATAGAAGTTTAAAGGTTCTATCAGAAACTCCTATTTATGTTTTGACCAAACTTGGGTTTTTTT